TACTGCACTCGTGAACTAAACGATGTGTCTGAGAAACGAGCCTTTAGCATGCAACGCAAAAAGCTTAAATTTTTCTTAACTAGAGATGGAACAGTCGTCCTTTCGAACAGCGAAAAGGGAATAGAAAATTTAATATTGTCTGTCCAAAAGCACAGTGATAAAAATCTGTTCTTGAATTTAAAGAAAACGAAAATAATGTCCACAGATAAAACTGGCTGTCACCCAAAAAATAACAATAAATGATGAAGAAATTGATTTTGTCACAAACTTTGAATATCTAGGCTCTATAATAAACAACAATGGAGACTTTTCGACAGAAATTAAAAGGAGAATGGCCATAGCAATGCAAAGATTGAACAGACTTAAAAGTCTATGGTTAAGCACCAGCAAGGAGATCAAAATTAGAATTTTGAGAGCATGCATCATCCCTGTGGCTACATACGGATGTGAGTCGTGGACTATCTCTTAGTCATTGAGAAAGAGAATAGTGGCTTTTGAGCTGAAATGTTATAGAAAGATTCTCAGAATATTGTTGTGTGCTAAATGAGTTACCACTAGCCAGCACACTACCAAGCGTCTAGCAGGTACCTTTCCGCTTCCTCTCTTAGAAACAGAACTCGATGACAATGACACCGTCAGACATTTTATTCAACAGAATACATGACACAACTGCAGAGACGTAGTTATTGATCACAGTTTACATTCGCACATAGTCCATTTGTCCTCACTAGCTCTCTCTCTCTCAATTTGTAGCGACCTCTCCTTGACCACTACAGCTCCAAGGACTACAGCATCATACGCTCTGGACACGCCGTACAGCTGAACAGGACGAATTCTCCAACCCACTGGACCTTGATATCAATTATGCAGACAACACGGCTGACTGGAGACGGACTTCCCTTGCCGTACTCCAAAAACACGCAGCTGTCGTCAGCTTGTCGAAGGGCTCCGATGACCGACAGGACTTCTACCATAAGTCCCCTCTAGCACACAGCTCTCGTCGGCATCACCCCCCTGTTCTGTTTCACTAGTGGTCCTCCTACGTTTCACTACGTCGCTACCCAGAACAGGTACTACTGGAGCATTCCGTCCACTGGACTTACTTTGCCAGTGGGACCACACCTTCCACCAATACCGCAACCTCAACACTTACTCAGACCTTAATGCCTGATAGTCGTACGGTATTCTTGTCTGTTATACTCGAGAGAGATAATCACGGACCCTGACTTGGTTTCTGACTCTCTCCCTCTCTCTCTCTCTATCTCTCTCTCTCTCTCTTTATTCTCTTTCGAATGCCCCGGAATGACTACTCAGCCCCCAATGTATCCCCCTCAAATCCGTGTAGGTGGATGATGTTTACACGAGGGGCACGTTCGTATGGGTGTTCTCGAGAAGGATGATCCTGTGGGTGTTCTCGAGACTCACGCTCATGTGTGCGTTCTCGAGGATCACGCTTATCTGGGTGGCTGATGTTACCTGAGAATCACGCTGTCACGTGATTCACACTTTCTCTCTTTATCTCGGTAGCCATGGTTTCAGCCTCCACACCGTAACCCACGAGTCCACTTTCTCGTGGCACTACCCTTCTCACTGGTCAACATCGAGCCAATGTTGACAATTCCCCGTGAACTTACAGAAGTACTCTCATACCACTGTCCCTTCACACAATATTACACTTTACCCAAATCTTCTTCTGCCTTTCTATTCCCCAATGGAGCATAGGCCCTCAACCAACTCACGCCAAGTCGTTCTATCCTTCGCCATTGCATGGAGCTCTCCCCATGTCCTCCCAATCTTTCTAACCTCATTCTCCAGCTCTCTTCTCCATGTGTTTTTTGGCCTTTCTTTATTCCTATGCCCCTGTGGGTTCCAATGCAAAGACATTCTAGTTATGCTGTTCTCCTGTTTTCTCAGTGTGTGCCCTATCCAACGCCAGCGTCTTTTCCTCACCTCCTGATCCACTGGAGCGTATTTAGTTCTCTCCCAAAGTTCTACATTAGTTATTCTATCATACCATTTTATTCCCTCTATTCTGCACAGGCACCAGTTAATGAATGTCTGTAATTTATTAGTAATTGCATTGGTTGTTTTCCATGTTTCCGCCCCATACAATAGTACTGATTTGACATTAGAATTAAAAATTTTTAGTTTAGTATTTCTTTTAATTTCTTTTGACCTCCACAAATTCCCTAGTGCTATGAAAGCCCCTCTTGCCTTTTGTATTCTTATTTTAATATCTCTATCAGTTCCTCCATCTTTATCTACATTACTGCCTAAATAGGTGTACGACTCCACGTCTTGGAGTGGGGTGCCATTAAGAGAAACCACATTACTATTTGCCTGATTTATTCTCATTATCTTTGTCTTTCCTTTATGGATTTTCAGACCAAGCTGCTGTGATTTAGCATTAAGTATATTTAATTTATCTTGCATCTGATTCCATGAATGGGACAGAAGAGCAATATCATCAGCGAAGTCCAAATCATCAAGCTGTTTTGTAGGGGTCCACTGAATTCCATTCTTTGTGTTAGCAGTTACTGTTTTCATAGTCCAGTCTATAGCCAGTAAAAATAAGACATCCCTGTCGCACACCTGTTTTTATTTTAAATGCATCTGTTAGCTTTCCCTCATGAAGAACTCGACATTTCATGTCTTTATATGTTGCCTTTACTAAGTTGATAATTTTCTGTGGGATTCCATAGTGCCCCATCAATTTCCAGAGAGATTTCCTATCAATGCTGTCAAATGCTTTTTCATAGTTTATAAATCCAATATAAAGTGGTGAGTTCAGTTCAATGCTTTGTTCTATTATAATACGTAATGTGGCTATCTGATCAGTACAGGATCTGTTTGACCGAAAACCTGCCTGCTCATCTCTTAGCATTTTATCAATAGCATCTTTTAATCTTTCCAAAATAATTCTACTTAATATTTTTCCAGGAACTGACAGCAACATAATTCCCCAAATCAGCGCGCAACAACATATCTTGGACAAAGAAGATGAGAAATATTTACATCTTAAAAGATCTGAACATCAAGAAAGATTGGCTAATAAACAGCATCCTTTCTCGAAATCTAAAATAGTTTAGTCATATCAAGCTCCACGACGGATTGAAAAAAAAATTATAGCAGAAGGCATGGTACCAGGAAGGAGGGCAGGAGCCGACCGACACAAAGATGGGCACAGGATATAAGTGACTCCTTGAGTGTGAAAGTGCACGAGGCGGGAGAACTGGCGACAGACCAAGTTTCTTTCAGGCAGACTGTGATCTGAGCGACGTTCTGCAAAGGACCTGCTACATGATTATGATGATGATGAGAGATGGTAATTTCATTAGATAGCGTAGACATAAATGGAGCAGACGGATTTCCATAGTTGAGTTAAGCAGTCTATTTGTAATTGCCTTCGTCCTTAATTAAAAGACTTGATTATGGTTTACAGCGAGACAGCGAGACTGCAATATCATCACCATTTAACACAACTCGTAAGACATTAGCAAAACTAAATAAACTGCCTTTTACGACTGGCTTGTTAGACGGCAGAGTGTCTCCCCTCCCCCCCCCCCCCCGCCCCCAATAAAATTGGGACGAGAGAGAGAGAGAGAGAGAGAGAGAGAGAGAGAGAGAGAGAGAGAGAGAGAGAGAGAGAGAGAGGTTTGTGTGTGTAAATGTTTGTGTACACATTTTTTTAAATCAATATTTTTGCAGTTTTAACCTTAGCTGAGTTTGCTAAGGAATGCCATCATCATGGGGAAAAAAAAGGGGAGGGGGGGGGGGAGTTAGGAACATTTTTTACCAGGTTTATTGTTTACTGGGGGGGGGGGGGGGGGTGCCGGGAGTCACCACAAAGTGTCTGATGAAAGGTGTCGGTAAGCACCATAATGTGTCTGTTACAGTAATGCTTAATTAAAATATAAAGTCATCGTGAAAATAGTGAGGTGATAAGCGCAGTAGTTTCATAGACCAATGGGGCACTCAATGAGTGGTGTGAAAAATATGTTTAAAGGTTTATTAAGAATCTACATCCCAGCAGGAGGGGCATTCCCAATAAACGCTCTGTTCCCCTTCTCAGCAGCAAGAGCAGAATTTCAATTCTAATGGTATCAGCAGCAGTCTGATTGTATATGTGTCTCAGCTTTCCATTGAGTGCTGATCATCGAGCAGATGCGCTGGGCACTGCTCACAGTACCGTCCTCTTCAGACCAGGATGATCCATTTGTGCTTCCGCGCTGTTTACTCCTTCCCCCGAAAGGCCCTTACAACAGTAAGCTTGTCAGTCCTCAGTCTGCCACCAAGTTGTGCAGAACCAGCCGGTCTATCTGCACGCTCATTTCCTAATACACCGGCATATCCTAGGGAAAATTTCCAAAGGACGCTAACTGTTTGCCACTTTTCAAGGAGCAAGAAGAAGAAGAAGAAGAAGAAGAAGAAGAAGAAGAAGAAGAAGAAGAAGAAGAAGAAGAAGAAGAAGAAGAAGAAGAAGAGAAGAAGAAGAAGAAGAAGAAGAAGAAGAAGAAGAAGAAGAGAAGAGAGAGAGAGAGAGAGAGAGAGAGAGAGAGAGAGAGAGCGGGATGACGAAGGAGTAGGGGCTAGATGTCTCAAGACTTGATTTGCCTTACTGCATCAGATGCCAATCATTTTTTATCCAGTTTGTTAGCTGTGGTTAATGTTAATTAATATGTCTGCCTATTGATATTACTTCTGTATTTCTAAATAATGGCCAACGCCTTATATGAGACATTTTATAACGATGACATTGATGCTGATTGAATTGATCTTGATGATGATGATGATGATGATAATGACAACGATGATGACGACTATAAAGATAATTATGACGATGATGATTATGATGAAGATGATTATGACGATGGTAACGACGATGATTATGAATATGATGATAATAATGATAATATTGATGATGATTATTTTGATGATGGTGATGATGATGACGAAGATAACGACGATGACAATAATGACTGAAAAATACGTTTTCCTACCGACTTTTCTGGCCAGTTAAATTCGTCGAAAACCGAATCAAAATTTTCTGGGGCGCCGTCAGTGATGATCATAATCGCCTTGTTGCACAAGGTGTGTTCCTTAAACTCCATGTGCTCCTATGGGACAACAGAAACGTTGTGTGAACTACTCCTGTACCAACTAACACAAAATACACTACAGGATAATGGACCTGTTCATCTCTCCCGGCCCATCTACATACTTTCTCAGTCTGACCTAGTTCAGAGGGGTGTTCACGTGGTACTGATTTCTTTGAAAAGACTCTCTCGTGTGACCTACGCACGTGCTGCGGGTAGGGTATTTGGGTGAGGTCCGGTTCTTTAATGTTCTAGGGTTGTTGAAAGCTGTGTCGTCGTTAAGTTTTGAACACAAAACATCTGCGCTGATGTAATTGGAGGCAAGACATCGTGACACCCCTCAGACATAGAAGAGTCTGAGAAAGTATGAATGAAAGAACAGCCAGTGTGTAGATGGGTCGGGAAACATGAACTGGGCTTAGATAATATACATTCGCGTATAGGAGCTAATACACAAAGTATCATTCCCTCTGCCCCACAAAGAAAACAATTCGTGGGGAAGAGGGGAGGGGGTCCCAGAAGCCATGTTTAACTCGTTCAATACTAAAGAATTCACTATGCTTTCTTACCCTTTAAACACAATATATTCTTGCTGTGTGCAGTCACAGACACATGTTATTTTAACCCCTGTTTTCTCAATATTTGGGAGTCGCCGTGGTGTAGCAGTTAAACGCTGGCATACGAATGGGAAGGTCAAGGGTTCAAGTCCTGACTTTTTTCACACAAGATCTTGGCTCCCAGGTCGACCTAGCCTTGAATGGGTATCAGGTGCAGTCCTGGTAAGTAAAGGGGACCGGTGTGATTCTAACCACATCACCCACCCAGTGCCGATTGGTCTATAAACAATATATCTAGCCCTCTGACCACATCACCCACCAAGTGCTGATTGGTCTATAAACAATATATCTAGCCCTATATGCTTATTTCGCCTAAGGGCGTTGGAAAAGGGTCCTTTCCTTTACTTTATCTGAACAATTATCTTGACTACTTGTGATCCACAGTGTTTATGTTGAACTTCTTCAGACCTTAGTATTTGTTGCTTTAAGCTCAAATGCTGAAGGTAAAAAAAGGTTGAAGTAACAACTGTTTGGGACTGGAATGAATACATAAATCAATCAGTGATTAAAAAATTTAGGGGAAGAGGTAGATTTTTTTTAAAGTAGTGCGTTAGTCTGTTCGAGCTTTGAAGCAGTCTTCTTCTTGCAGAGAGGCGCAGTTGTCATTTGGAGGGGATTTGTTCGATTCCTAGTGGGGTAAGTATAGCTTTTGATTGATCTGTTTTCTAGTAAGGTATGTTCTATTATTAGTATGTTCTCAAAAAGATATGCCACCACCCCCCCCCCCCCCACCCATTCAAATTTAAAACAAAAGACAATATCTAATATATGAATTCGAAACACACACATACGCACAGACAAACACACGATTTCGTATTTGTGTGTGCGAGCGCGCGCACGTGTGTGTGCGTGTGACCGTTCGAGTGTTGTGTTACTGATCCGAAAGTCGTGGGTTCAGATCCTGACAAAGGTCCCAGATCGACCCAGCCTTAAAGTGAGTGGTAGGTAAAGTCCTAGGAAGTAAAGACGCCCGGCGTGATGATGGTCACTTCAGTCACAGAGTGCCTATAAACCTAGATACACACATGTGTAAAGCCAATATCCCCAACACACATGAAGGCGGGGAAAAAGGGGCTTTACTTACTTTAACTGTATTATTTTTAGCTTATTCTCTCAACAAAAACAAACACAACAAAAATGTACCTTTCTGAAAAGTTGGAATGCTTTGGTTAAAGCCTTTTCAAAGTTGGAATACTCCTTAGCCTCGAGTTCTGCAATTTTCTTCTGCATTCTTTTAATGTTGTCAACGCTGGCTGCCATCAGAGTATCGTTGAAGCATTCGTCCACGTACCTGGGCTGGTCAGAAAACTAGGAACAAATGTATGATGTTATACTGAACATAGTTAAAAAGCCACTGAAATGGAAAAAAAAAGGGGGGGGGGGGGAGGCTTAGTAGTCAACTTCAGCAGCCTCCCCCAAGCTACGTCCCCTTCACCGAGCTACTTCTCCTTTCCCAAGCCTTATCCCCTTCTTCAAACTGCTTTCCCTTCTCCAAATTGCTTCCCCCGTCCACAAGGACTTCGGCTGCGTCAATAATTACAGTGGAACCTCGTTTAACGAGCATAATTCGTTCCAGAATCATACTCGTTAAGCGAAACACTCGTTATGCGAAGCAATTTTTCTCATATAAATTAATGTTATGTTGAATACGATAATACTCACAAAATGCTATTCCATGTTAAAAAAATATTATATACATATTTAAGGAGAGTAAATCATCCCCATCTTTTCTTCAAACGCGGAACGAACCCACATGGAATGCGACATCGATTTGCAGAAAAAAAGTCGAAATAATTATGATACATAGGTAATATTTTTTTTTTTTTTTTTTACTAGAAAGATGTCCACAGACATTTGTTTTTGTCGACGCTTCACAATTTGGCAAAAATGCGACACGGCATTATCATTAAATTTGCAACGCGCATAGCCACTTCCTTATTAAGGTGATGCTTCTCAATGTGAGAAGCAACAGTTTCCCATGCTTTCAGCATGTTACTTATTTCGCCAGAAGATTGTTGCTTTACTGTTACCTTCTCCTCCTCCTCTGACACACTTTCCTCTAAAACGTCCTGCTGTGAAACACAATGCAACCCCATAAGCTCTTCGGTGGTCAGCTCTTGGCTGTGCTCTTTCACAAGCTCTTCGATATCACTGTTATTCACCTACAATCCCATGATAGTGGCCAAAGACACAATCTCGTTGACTACAGGTTCCACAGATACTGTCTCGAACCCCTCAAAGTCACAAATCGACAACATTCTCCAGCCAAAGCTTACTCCAAGAAGAAGTTAGGGTTCTCTTGGTAACCCCTCCCCCCGCCTCGTCAGTAATCTTGAGGCAAGCAACGATGTGGAAGTGATTTTTCCAAAGCTCTTTGAGAGTGAGGTTGGTCCCGCCAGTCACCTGAAAACAATGCTCTAAGAGTGCTTTAGTGTAGAGCTTCTTAAAGTTAGAAATAACTTGCTGGTCCATAAGCTGGAGTAATGGAGTGGTGTTGGGAGGCAGAAAATTGATCTTGATTAACTTTAATCAGGGAGGTCATCTTGTAGGCCTGGAGGATTCATGTACATATATCACAATATAACACAAGTTTGAGAAAATGTGTGATCACAAGCGACAATGCTACTGGAACGAGTGCTAAACACTGATGTAACATGCGCAAAATCCGGGACTTTCCCTCTCCTCGCCACTCCTTATGCGAAACGTCGCTCGTTAAGCGAGTTATTCTTTTACAATTTGTTTTGCTCGTTATGCGAATTACTCGTTATGAGAGGTGCTCGTTAAGCGAGGTTCTACTGTACTTGCTGCTCTGCTCTGCATGGGACTATAGGAAATTTGCTAGGAGGTAAAGTGGTACTTTTGACTTTGTACAGAAGTTTTTTCCATTTTTTTTTTCGAAGTATTTAGTTCTGGATTTTTTTTTTTTTAGTATTTAATTCGTCGTGATTTTGTGCGTGTGTGTGTGTTTTTTTTTTTTTTTTATTTATTTTTTATTTAGTATTCACTTCTGCATTTTTTTAAAATTATTTACTTCTGCATTAAAAAAATTTTTTTTTTTAATATTTATTTATTTCATTGCACATAACGATAATAACAATAACTGTATCATTGCCCACTAAAACAATGCTTACGAATTTGCACCCTTTCCGATCCTGAAAACAAAAATATTACTAAAGACCTGCCACCCCCACCATTTTTCTATGTGTCGACGCCCATGCATCCTATGGATATAAAGCAAATGGCCTTGGTCAAGTTGTCATGCGTGACAAACATTCAGCTTTGGCATCGCGTGCCATTTTTTTGGGAGCTGTTCAATTAGATACTTGTTGATCTGGTCTTGTTGATCGATCTTGTTGATAGATACATAGTTATCGGGAGTTGTGTATGGCTGAGATTAGTGACAGGGATACGAGGAAAAGAGAGATGGTGATATGAGAGAAAAGTAGAGAGAATTAGAGGTGGTAAAGAGAGAGAGAGAGGGGGAGAGATAGATGAGTGAGATAGGGAGTTGCGAATAGAGGACAGATAGAAGAGGCGAAGGAAATGAGAAATGAGGGGTGGTGGGAGTTATAGACGGCGGAAGGAAGAGAGAGAAAAATCGGACCCAGGGAGAGAAAAGAGTGACGAGAAAAAAAATATAAAAGACGAAAGGGACGGAAGGGAGACACATAGAGAATGAAATTGGAGCGGGTGACAGAAAAAGGAAAAGCAGGGAGAAGGAGAAAATGGTAAATATGAAAAGAGGGAGAGAATGGGGAAGAAGAGAGACAAATGAAAGAAAATGGAAAGACGAGGACATGGATGGGAAGAGAAGGGTTTGAGATAACCAGTGGCAGATAAAAAAAAAAAAACACTTCTATAGATGGACACAGTAACTGTTCTAGTAATATATTTGTTGCGATCCATTTCCTGAGTGACGGAGCGACGCTCAACAGACTGCAATATTTGGAGGGAAATTACTCTACTCTCAGTACCAAGCAAAATATTTAGTAAAATCATCATAATGCGGCTTGAAAAAGGCGTAGATAAATGCCTACGAGTGGAACAAGCAGGATTCAGAAAGGGCAGAGGAACAACTGAGCACATCTTCGCCATACGGAACATTTTAGAACAATGCAACGAATGGCAGAGAAGTATATATATTCATTTTGTGGACTTTGAGAAAGCTTTTGACAGCGTCCATAGAGACGGTCTGTGGAAAATTTTACGACATTATAGAATTTCAGAAAAAATAGTCAACATAATTGCTCTCTTCAATGAAGACTTTTCCTGCAGTATAAAAAATTACAATGCATCATTCCCAGTAAAGACGGGTGTAAGACAGGGATGTGTTATGTCATCTCTCCTCTTCAACCTTGTGATTGATTGGATACTAAAGAACACAGTAGACAGGACATTAAGAGGCATACGATGGACTCCATTCACCATGCTTGAGGACCTTGATTTTGCAGATGATATAGCACTCCTTTCGCATAAACATGAAAACATACAAGAGAAAAGTAACAGACTAAACTGCACAGCAGAAATGGTGGGACTGAGAATAAATACAAAGAAAACTAAGATCATGACAAACAGTCCAAACCAACAACCAGTGACCATAAGTAACCAATCACTTAAAAATGTAGAACATTTCACATATCTTGGCAGTGTGGTGTCCCTACTGGGGGGGGGGGGTCCGGGGGGGGGGGGACAGAGGAAGACATACAGTCACGTCTGAACAATGCTAGACTGCTTTTGGAAGGATGAGGCAAATCTGGAAATCCAACAATTACTGCAGAGGAACAAAACTCCGACTCTACAAGAGCATCATTTTGCCAGTTCTTCTTTATGGAGCGAAATGCTGGAGAATGACCAACAAGGATGCACACAAGATGTCCACCTTCCACCACACGTGTCTACGTAGAATTATCAAAATTTTCTGGACAGATACAATCTTAAACACTAAACTACTTCAAGCCACAAACAAAGAAACTTTAGACAGTATGATTACCAAGAGAAGACGGAATTGGCTTGGCCACGTTATGAAAATGATTTCTGATATACCTGCTAAAACAGCTCTCATATGGACACCAGAGGGAAAGAGAAAACAGAGGCGCCCAAAAACAACATGGAGACGAACGATGGAAAGTGACCCGAGTGCGGCATATTTGACTTGGAAAACTGCCCTGAAGATTGCACAGGACAGGAAAGCATAGAAAGTCCTCTCTGAAGCCTCATGTGCCACTAGGCATAACGAGAACTGATGATGATGATGGGAGAAAATGGTAAATATGAAAAAAGGGAGAGAGATAGGGAAGAAGTGAGACAAATGAAAGAAAATGAAAAGACGAGGACATGGATAGAAAGAGAAGGGTTAGAGATAACCAGTGGCAGATGGAAAACAAAAACCACTTCTATAGATGGACACAGTAACTGTTCTAGTAATATATTAGTTTGTTGCGATCCATTTCCTGAATGACGGAGCGACGCTCAACCCCATGTGACCACACACAGAGCGACACACATCCAGTGATACAAAGTGCCACCATTCGTATGAGAATCACCCAGGCGCAAGTTGCAGAAATCCCGTTCATGTCGTAGGTTACATTTAGGGTCCTTGACGACAGTCGGGACTTTAAAATAACAACGAGAACAACAACAACAACAAATTGCGTCCTGTATTAGAGCGGATTATGTGAGAACATTGACCACTTTCTCATAATTTCAAAATTCAATAATAAACTTGAGACGCAGTTTTTAGTTTAGTGACATACAAAATTGCTAAATGCAAAAAAATAAATCCATCAGTTTTAAGATCAGTTAAGTGTTCAGATCCGACATCATGGCATTCAGATATGTCCAAAAGCGCCCTGTCTGGGTCTTATGCAGCCAGCGGGAGAGTCCTAGCTCCGACTGTACCAATAGTTTTATCTTTCTATGTCCTACTTATCTTTCCTCTGAGTGTGAAGTGTCAGTCATATCCCCTGATTACTGTCCCTTCACACTAGTCTGTTCAGATCGTAATGATCTAATTGTGCCTCCGCACTATTCACTCGCTCCCAAAGACATCACAATATCTAGTTTGTCGTGCATCAATTTACCGAGTGATGCAGAATATGCCAGTCTGTCTGCAGGTTCGTTTCCCGACACACCTGCATTACCTGAAGAAAATATCCAATGGATGCTAACTACACTGCACCTCGGAAGTAATGTTTAACACTCTGCACGGCCCGGCTCTCTACCGTAGTTGGCTAAACCAGATTGCGCGGAGACCGGGTGATGAACTCCTTGTGGTCCGGGTTCAATCCCGGGGGTAGGCAGGAAAGCCACATTTCTCCCAGATTTACGGTATTTACAATGTAATCAAGGCCGAAAGGTTACGATATCCATAATACCAGCCTAAGGGTTAACAACTCATGGCTTCTGGATACTAAAACAAACAACACTCTGCACGGAGCATATCTGCATCAGTGTTTACAAATTTAGAAAATGGCTCGTTCCTGAATCAAAGAAATGAGCTCAGCTATAGTACATGAAGGTAATAAAACCAGCAGATGTTTTTATTTATTTTAGAGGACCTTTTTAAAACAGATTTTTTTTCCTGTGAAATGTGTAGGATGTATGGTTTTCTGTGTGCTCTTTGTCTGTGTTTTGCTTTAAGTTGATGAATACGTCGTAATGTAGAAAACAATATATCCGCGATAGATGCCAAGTAATAAAGTGTGAAATATATTTTATGGTCATTATTCCTCAAAATTTGTTTATGCTGTTCATTGCAACTGCAGAGGACAGAACTGGTGCATGTAGAACTCATAAAATAATCGTCGTTCAATATCTGTTTTAAAAAGTTGAATGCAGGCGATCAAGAGGCGGAACATTGGGTGCTTTATTAATACCCTACTCCAAACAGGAGAAATCCCCAGGTCATGGGACTGTCTAATATTTTAGGGGGTGGTAGATAGGCTGCATGCAGTCGTGGTACCTATGCTGCATGCAGTGGTGAGACCTAGGCTGCACTCTCTCGTGGGACGTTGGCTGTCTAGGGTCATTAAAAGCATCAGAAAGCCGGGAAACCCAGTCTTACCACCCTCTAAAATGTTGGACTGTCCAGTGACGTCATCTGGTTGTATGATCTCAATAAAGTACCGAACATTGTATAAATGGGAGGACGACATCAAACGATGGACGAACAGAAATCTGAGACAGCGTGTGTGTGTGTGTGTATATATATATATATATAAAGTTGCATATCCATTTTAGGACGTTACAGAACCAACCCAAGCATTTATTGGCTGTTATGGTTTTTCCAGGGTAATTTTTACGTTCAGTAGTTTGCCATTCCTCTAGAACGGTCAGCTCTTGGTACCACCGTCGAAACTAGCGTAACACAAATTGTCCGCAGCAGGTATCGAAACCGGCACCCTGGCATTACATTGCGTGTACATTAAGGGCGAAAGAAATGGAGGATTGAAAACCCATTGCAGCCAACCCCAATTGTGGCAGCGACAGATAATTGATTGATTGATAAACTGATTGATCGACTGGCTGATATCTATAGGGGTATTTCACCTGAATGACATTGAAGTAGTCCTCATCACTGAGCGTCTCTAGTATTTTGTTGACTGTGTTTCTGGCTATGGCATATCTCATCCCTTTCATCGAACCGCTGGAGTCAAGCAGGATAAGAATGTTCTTTGGATACGAGGCTGCTTGAATATACCTAGATAATAAAATACACATATACATTTGTGTGCATGTGTTTGTATGTGTGTGTGTGTATGTGTGTGTGTGCGCGCGCGCTTACGTGTGTGCATGTCTACATTTATGTTGAAAGTAGAAATAAGAGACGACAACACCACACTCGGGATATCCCCATAAGCGCTCCGTCCCCAATCTTCAGCAACAAGCGAAAAGTTCCAGTTCCCATGGCACCAGTAACTGCCTGAACGTATAGCCGTCTTGCCTTTTCCTTGAGTGTTGAGCGTCGGCCAGATTACCTACTAACTCCGCGCAGCGCCATTCTTCACAGACTGTAATGATCTATCTGTGCCCCCGCATTGTTCATTCGCTTTCAAAGATCCCCAACAACATCCAGCATGTCATACATCAGTATAGTCGAGTCTGGATAAGTAGAAGTCGCAGGGACCTAAGAAAATGCTTCCACTTATCAGGATTTCTACTTATCCAGACAGCACACACAATAGAGAAAATTGCCGGGACTAAGCTGGTCATGTCGACTTAACCGAAATTCGTCTTATCCGAATTCGACTTAAGTGGACTAGACTGTATTCGTGTATTCATCACTCTTCTCAGTTTCTTTGTAAATTAAAAAAAAAAAATTTCAACTATTAACATTTACATAGTCTGTCAATTTTTAGTTTAAAAGATAAGTAGGTGAAGTAAAAGTATTTTAAACCAGTGACGCATCATTAATAGGACGCTAGATCTATATTTGTAAAGTCAAATCAGCGCTTGCATGCTCGTGCAGTAAACGCCGGACGCGTTTACTGCCCAAGACATTACACGCTATCATTTTGGACTGGGCCACCCTAGACTAGAAAATCAGATCAGATTTCAAAGGGAACAACAACTCGATACGATGAAGATATTTGCACCGGCATGCCAGCATCTGACGCCCGCCACCCACACCCACTCCCAGCCTACGTTTTTCCCCAAAAAAGATTAATATTTAAATTCTTCTTATTTGCATCTTTTGGGAAACTCTTTCGGCGTTAAACTCTCTTATAATCCAAACCGTGTGGCTTTTGTAGTCATGTCTATCAAAACCTTCTGTCTCGTGTATTTTCAATCAATTCTGACACATACGACTTTCCATACTTTGTGGTCTTGGTAGTGACGAATTCCACAACCTTCTGTCTCATGTACTTTTCAGTCCTAACACTGATAATCTTCCATGTCTTGATGTCAAATTGTCCAATATTCTCTTTCTCGGTCTCCCTCTGCCTCTTTTTTCCCTCCACCTTCTCATTGTCATGATGTACTCCAGTTTTCTCCTTACCATAACGTGAAAAATAAATGTAGATTGTCTTCTTCAAGCAATCAGTTTTCTTCGCGAGTCAGTTTCTTTCAAGTCGTCTTTACTACCCTTTTTATCTGTCTACGGTGTTCTTATCATTCTTGTATAAAACCACATCTCCGCCGCTTGCAAATAATTAACACGTCTTGCGTTTAATATCGTTCTCAGATGTGCTTTAAAATTTATTATCTTTTTTTTATCCGTTTCTTGTACCCTTTCAGACTCTCGTTATATCTTAACTGTTATTTATTTTGTAAACCTACAATGGTGTTCATCCCATAATGACATCATTAGAACGAGTGTAGACAAAGTCAGTGTTTTAAGGTTTAGACACATCATCATCAGGTGCCTTGCCGACTGGCATGGGCGATCATGCCTCTCCATAATCCACGATCTCCTGCAGCATGTATCAGTTCGTGTGCCGACACACCTCCATGCCATGCAACAAGACTGTCAAGCATCTTCTCTCGTTGTCTTCCTCTATCCCTCCTTCCACAGATCTTTCCAGTGGTCACAACATGTTCTATTTTCCCACTTCTCATAACATGGCCGAAAAATGATGACTGTCTCCTTCTGATGTCAGTGATAAGTTGTCTTCGGGCTCCCGCCTCTTTTAAAACCTCTTGGTTACACACACAGTTTATGTTTATTCGACGAATCTACAACATGGCACACTGGTGTAACCCGTTCTACTTTTAACTCAAGCCTGAGTCTGAAAAATTTTAGAGCAGTGAACGAACTCTGTTGCACCGGCGAGGATCCTGAAATACTTTGGATACATTTTTAACTCTAAATATTGCCCGGGTTACACTTAGGCTACACTTTTCGATTTCCACCTTCTGCCAAGGAATGTTTTACGTACGCAAAAATAGACACGGACGTCCGATCCTACTACCCAGAGACCAAGACAAAATATTCCAGCCTTCAATAGCGATGGAACGTCGGACCTCCAGCACTGGAGGCGAAAACCGTACCCCCAGATCACTTAGTCCCCATAGACAGACACGGGCATTGTTTTCAAGGCAATAGATCCTTGAGAATACCAGAGCTGAAGGAATTGTTCATATGGACTGGGGAAAAGTCCCAAATAATATTGCTTTATGTGCTGCCATAATTACCTGGAAAACTATATATTATTACAGGCTGTAAAAATGACTGAAGCCATGCATACATAGTCGAAGAGAGATTTGTGGTCTTTGATTTTGATATAAGGAACATATCTACAAATGAAATGATATAAATAGGGGTTAGAATAATTGAGGGAAATAGTGCCTGATCAATTGACAATAGCACCACCAACGAGGAAGATATGAAATAAAAGCCGGAGAATGTAGAGCAGGATGAAAAGGAAGAGGTCAGCATATCAACAGCAGCAGCAAAAGAAAATATGATAAAGGAAGAGTAGTAAAAGTAGCAGCAGTACTAGCAGCTACAGCTGTAGTGGTAGCAGTAGTGGTAGCAGCTGCAGTAGTAGCAGCAGCAGCAGTAGTAGAAGTAGCAGCAGCAATAGTAGTAGTAGTAGTAGTAGTAGTAGTAGTAGTAGTAGTAGTAGTAGTAGTAGTAGTAGTAGTAGTAGTAGTAGTAGTAGTAGTAGTAGTAGTAATAGTAGTAGTAGCAGAAGCAGTAGTAATAGTAGCAGCAGAAGAATAACAAGGAAAAGGAAGAGTAGTTGTAGCGGCAGCAGCAGCAGTAGTAGTAGAAGCAGCAGTTGTAGTAGTAGTAGTAGCAGCAGCTGTAGTAGTAGCAGCAGTAGCAGAAGTATTAGTAGAAGGAAGCGGCGGAGGCAGAGGAGAGAAAGAAGAAGAAGAAGAAAAAAGAAGAAGAAGAAGAAGAAGAAGAAGAAGAAGAAGAAGAAGAAGAAGAAGAAGAAGAAGAAGAAGAAGAAGAAGAAGAAGAAGAAGAAGAAGAAGAAGAAGAAGAAGAAGAAGAAGAAGAAGAAGAAGAAGAAGAAGAAGAAGAAGAAGAAATAGAAGAAGAAGAAGAAGAAGAAGAAGAAGAAGAAGAAGAAGAAGAAGAAGAAGAAGAAGAAGAAGAAGAAGAAGAAGAAGAAGAAGAAGAAGAAGAAGAAGAAGAAGAAGAAGAAGAAGAAGAAGAAGAAGAAGAAGAAGAAGAAGAAGAAGAAGAAGAAGAAGAAGAAGAAGAAGAAGAAGAAGAAGAAGAAGAAGAAGAAGAAGAAGAAGAAGAAGAAGAAGAAGAAGAAGAAGAAGAAGAAGAAGAAGAAGAAGAAGAAGAAGAAGATGAAGAACAACAACAACAACAACAACAACAACAACAACAACAACAACAACAAAAGCAGCAGAAACAACAGCAACAACAATAATAATAACAACAAACTCAAAGGCAAAAAGATGCAACAGAAGATATAAGAAGAAGAATGGAAGAATGTGGAGACAGTGAAATACGGATAAGAGGGTCAACGTAAGGATCAGAAAAACAAGGATGACAATGAAATAGAACTCGCTGAGAAGAAATATAAAACTTTAGGGCGAACAACAATGTGAGTTACAAGAGTGAGGAGGTGATGGTGGTGGCATATAAGAAGTAAATGAACATCAAGAAAAAGATAGCGGTGATAATGAATGTAAAACAGAAGAAGAAGAAGAGTCAATATACCATCTTCTTATTCTGCAGTCAAAGGTATCAACTTTGTCGGCCTCCCTTGGCCACTGCATACCTGGAGAATCAAAAAGCGTTATTTATTGTACAGATGAGTAAACTAGTTAACCTACAGAGTGTTTGTAAACGTTCACTACAGTTTGTACGTAGAAAAAATTTGAAAAGATAAATACATGACGCATTTTTGGACCCATCAAAGATGCAAACAGCAGGGGAATAGAGAGTGAGAAGCAACAACGAAATTCATAATCTGTTTAAATCACCACTGATCACTGGCATCATGAGATCTAAGATACTGAAATGCCTTTGGCATATTGAGAGAATGTCAAATGACAAAGAGGTAAAAACTGTATATACAACAGAGCTAAATGGTCGTAGACCACGAGGCAGGCAAAGTAGACGATAGAGAGATAAAGTCTAGACAGACCTGCAAATACTTGGAGTTACTAACTAGAAAGAGAAGGTCAACCAGAGAGATGAATGGAGGCGGGTGATATCCGCGTCAATGAACCTTAAGGGGTCGGAAAAAGGAAAAAAGAAGAAATACATGTCATCAAAAATGTTCTCAACGGACATTCGCCAGACAATATGTAATGAACTGCTGTCGTCCGCTTGTGTCATTTTTTGCACTCAACGAGAGCAATGTTATCAATAGAAGAATGACTCGTTTATACGATTAAACCGCCTACTGGTCTTGAATTTATCACTGGCCAGTACAGCAACGCAAACCAGCAGTTTTGAATTATAATTCCAATTCTTTGTCTTCGATTTTACACGTTTTGACCATTAGGCGTATTCGAAAACGTGGTAAAGACATGCAATGTAGCATGTTTGTGAGCTTTACCGAGTTACTCAGTGTCTGTGTGAAAACAATGTGGCCTCTCAGCAGACTTCTTCGTGTGTGTCAACAACATTATGAATTTAGAAGCCTCAGATTTAAAGATAAAACACATTTTGATCACATTTATCCGAAGCTAGACAAAGAAAGTTATGGAGTAGACTTGTTCCAGTCACTGATACAGTCAAACATTGATGAGGGATAGCTCGAATACATATCTTATGCAAAGCGTACAACAATTTAAAAAAAATGCAGCTGATACAAAGAATAAATAGTGAAAAAGGTAATTTGCTTTGGTGTCGTGTAGGTATGGTCTGATTCCTTTATTATTCGGGAAAATGGGCTTTAAATTATTATCAAACTGAATGTTATACAAGGCTCGACAATTAAGCAATGAGACTAGTTCCATACAAATTAAAATAATCAACAGTGGAAGATATAACCTGCATCTGATTGAAAGTAAGCCCCTTGTTCATTGATACAGCAAGTGACACCATCTAACAAACACTGGAACGATCTCTGTAGTTCTTCTGTTGTTATGGCCCTTAAAGTAGATGTTACAGCCCTTTGGATGTCATCAATATCGTTAAAGACGCGTCCTTTCAATCGTAACTTTAATTTTGGGAATAGAAAATAATTACAGGGAGACAAATCTGAGGAATATGGTGAAAGACTGAGAACACACACTTATTTTTGGGCAAACAATTCTTGTTTTGATGATGTCACTTAGGTACTCAACCCACTGATGTTTTTGGTCATCAGACAACGAATGTGGTACAAGTAAGTAAAGTAAAGTAAAGTAAAGTAAAGTAAAGTAAAGTAAAGTAAAGTAAAGTAAAGTAAAGTAAAGTAAAGTAAAGTAAAGTAAAGTAAAGATCCCTTTCCACGCCTTTAGGCGTATCGGGCATATGGGAAGAGTGCCCATATTTTTACAGACCATCAGCACTGGTGGGTAATGTGGTCAGCATTACACCGGCTGTCTTTACTTTCCCAGGACAGCCCATCCTGGTACTCATTTTAGGCTGGGTAAGCCTGCGACGCCCCATACCATGATAAAAAAAAAACCACGCAGCCAGCAGTGGATTTCAATCGCGGTACGCTGGATTACGAGTCGGACTCGCAACGCCTAAGCCACAGACAGAATGTGATACAAACCGGCAAGCAACTTTTTTCTTGCCAAAATCTTGCACTAAAATGTTATGAATGGTCTCTCCATTAACACCAGATTCATCTGCCATCATACTCATGGTAAAACAATGATCTTCTTGTATCCGTTCTGTGACTTTTGCAATGGGTTTATCATTACGAACAAAAATTTGGCGTCCAGGTCTAGGCGCATTAGTAATCATTTCCACACCACTTTTGAATCGTGAAAACCACCTGCAAATGTGTGCACAAAATAAACAATTATCCCCATAAACTTGTTGCATCAATTGAACTGTTTCAATGGCGCTTTTTCTGAGTTGTAAAAAAATAATTTAATATTAACTTTTTGCTCTGTGCTTATTACGTAACAATGCACCTCTGACTGGGTCAACAAAACAGCAGCTTGTTTGTTGTCTGCCTATCGAGCGGCGATAAAAAGTTGCCAGACCATAGATGAATGTTGCCTCTTAAGATTCCATGCTTTGATTCATATATAGCATTTTTGTCTTGGCCATAATAAAATCAGTCTCATTACTTAATTTTCGCACCTTGAATAAAGTTAGTTTTTGTGTGTGAAATATTATTTGTTTTAGAAGGTCACTTTTCTTTACAAAAAAAAAAAAAAAATAATAAGATGGTGCGTTATGATGTTCTAAAAATTTATCCAGAAAGAGATCTATTGATCCTATTGCGTTTATTTTTATTTATACATTGATAAGTGGTTCATTGTCATTTGTGCTTCATTTTGTTATGTATTTTGTCGAACAGAACGATAGCCCTCAATTTATCTTTGAATGTTGAAAGAAAAATATCAGTCCAGATAAGAATCAAAACTTGTCAGCTTAGTAGTATCAGTCGCGAACGACAAAATAAACGTTGTGGCTAGAGAACCTTCAACAGCGTTCGACACAAACATACATTTTCTTTCTTAGGGACTGGGAGATTTTCCATGACCCACATCTGTGTGTTGCTACAGGGAAAATGCATGCTCTAAAAATTTGAATTTACCTGGGTATATTCTGAAAATTCCATCGGAACTGCAGAAATATTGCCACCTTAGAGAACTGTCTTCGTCATTGTTGTCGACGAACTGCTGGGTCAGGTTTGTAGTCCAATGGATGCCATTCAGAATTGTCATGGCTAGGAAAGGAGGGGGGGAAAAAAAAGATTTGAAACTTAAATAACACACACATTTTATTTAGTAGCCATTTCAGAGACCTGAGTGAGACCTTCGACGAGGGCTGGGGATGATTTTCTTTTGGAGACACTCCCCCGCACACCCCGCCCCCCACCCCCCACACACACACAATATTGGGAAGCTCAGCTTGTTTATAATTTCCATGAGCTGCTGTGGCTGGGGTTCTAATTAAGTAGGCAATAATGATAATAATAATATTTATTTTTATTATTATTAATACTATTGGTAGCTGCGCGGTGAGCAGTTAGACATTTACATGAAGATCGGAAGGTCAGGGGTTCAGATACTGACAGAGTCGGACATTTTTGTTTTCTTCAAAAAGGACCTTGGTTCGCAGGTCGACTTAGCTTTAAATGGGTACCGCGTGGAGTCCTGGGACTGAGTGATGTTGACCATATTACCCACCAAGTGCCGAATGGTCGATAAAATATAGGTCTAGCCCTATATGCCCAAAACGTCTGGAGGCGTGAAAAAGGGTCCTCTGTTTACTTTACGTATAGTATTATGAGCACCATCATCAACAGCATCATCACTATCATCATCATTATACAGAGTCAAAAATAAATAATATAATGGAAGGGTGGGGAAAAGCGTTTGGGGGTAAGGGGGGGGGGGGGATATCCAGTCCCTTGTTCTTTGTCCAGGAGAAAAAGGGAGCTTACCAACAATGTGCAAAGAGGGAGGAGAGAGGAGGTTCAATGTGCTAAACCTCAATGGTAAAACAGAACACAATGGTAGTCCTCACCTGAACAGTCATGTTTCCTTATCAGTCAATCAATGCTTTCCTGGAGGAAAAGTAATTCGTCACCTTCAAACAGCATCCCTGAAGCGGGAGCTTTAGTTTAAAACTGTGACTAGGTTATGTTTGCCATATAAAATGGCTTAACTGCACGCCATCAAGAGAACTGAAAATGTTTCCTGCAGTGTTGCTGCAATCAAACATGACAGACCCAAAATACAGGCTGCCAGCGAAGATGTCGTTTACCGGCGAGACAATGGGAGACTCGGTCGCCGATTATGTATGTGGTGTCCATAAATACTTAGGCTCACGACCCCCCCCCCTTCCCTCGCAAGCAGCCCACCCCGTTCTACGCTGGAAAATATTGCAATACGTAGTTGGGTTTTTTTTCCTTCTTCACATTTGTGGTTTAAATATTTTAACCTTTATCGCTATCATTAACATCTTCATCCTCACACTACATTGACCTCCACGTTTGCCATTAGGCTTTCTGGAGAGGAATAGTGTCCAGTCCAGTGCCCAATGTGTTGTGATTTGCACTGGCTACTTTAAAGCATGGGGGGAGCCGCAGTACTGTAGCGGCTAGACGTTCGTCTACTGTCGTTGGTTCGAATCTTCAGGTGCTGGTTATTTCTTTTTTCAACATGACCTTGGGTCCCGGGTAGTGTTGCTACTTTGGATGTTTTACATCCAAATTTACATGTTTTCCCTTGCATTTAGATGGCGTTTTTGATGTTAAGATGGTAGATGTTTTTCTAGATGTGATTTTTTATTTCGAGTAAATTTTCCAAATCTAACCTAAGAAACAGGATGAAATTTGACCTCTTAAATGCTATCTTGACAATTTTTTTTTTTTTTTAATCGATCACCGGCTGTGAATTCCAGTGGAAGGTCCCGGTTAATCGTCCGCTTGGACTTTTGGCTTTCACCTGGACCTGATTTTTGCGTGTACAACCGTTTTTCATTTCCCTGCCTCATGGGCAGCTGTACTCCGACTTCGAAGGAAGACGTCAGGCCTATTTCTAGGTTGACTGTGGCCATTGTTTTGTGTGGGTCGTGACGTTGCCTGATTTGTGTGGTGTCCACTTTGTCCCCTTCTCCGCAGGTATTGCCCTCGGAGTACCCCTTTGGGGCAGCCCCCTGTGGAACAGTTAGCCCTCAAGGGAAGGCAGAGGCAGATCATGGGCATTCCTCGCCATCCAAGGAGGCTTCCATGCATGCAGAGCCGGCACATGGCGCTCTGGTTCTGGGCTCACCCAAGGAATCGTCACGTCCTGCACATGCCTGCTTAACCTCACAACCGTATCAGGCCTCCCGCTCGACAGGGGCTGCGCCCTCTGGAAGTCAGCGGGGAGCAGCCCGTTATCTTGACAATGACATTTTGCCTGATATGAGTAGGAAAACGCTGTTTCCACTTATCAGCTTCCTAATTAGGTACTGAAAGAAATTGGAACAGCTAAAGCATACCAGAATCATTTTGAATCTGAAGCTTCAACTTCGTCATCCAAGCTAAGTTTATCCTATGGATCTTGTAAGGCAGACTTCAGTAAAGACGAGGACATGATTCTATAGGGTAAGTCATATGTAATTTGTAATGTAATATGTAATTTGTGACTCTTTCCAATTTGGATGTTTTTTCTAGATGTTTTTCACGCAAATTTAGATGCTTTTAGATTTTTTGACTCCGTGTTGGATGTTTTTTGTCAAAGAAAAGTGCCAACACTGCTCCCGGGTCGACTCTACTTAAAATGGGTACCAGGTGCAGTTGTGGGAAATATCGTTGGACGGCGTGATGTTGACCATACCACTAATCGAGGCTATGAGTCTTGACTTACGTCCCAGATGCGCCACTGGCGTGTGTCTAAATAGAGTTTTACCCTTTAATTCAATTCATGTTAACACAAACATGTACACACTTCCCCCACCCCCCAACCCTTTTCCCTCCCCCAGTATGCGCACAATGATTTCCTAGGTTTAAGCCGCCTAAACGCAAACACATCTGATGTAGGAGATTAACTCATTTTTCTAGAGGATTTATGATGGATACTGGTGTTATTATGAATAAACAACTATGCATATCTCACAGATGATTACAGTATTAATAATGGATCCACGCCCTTGTCCCAGATTGAGGAAATGAGGGTACAACCTGGATCTGCCAAACATGAATATTTCACTAAAGTCACAAGACGTTTGGTATCAATTCAGTAGGGCGTGTCAGTCGTTTTACACGTGTGAGGCTGTTCAAGAGTAGATAGGAGCACGTTTTAGACTGTTTTGAGTCTCATGACGCTAATCCTTATTAATCATAAGAGGCGTCACTTACCAATCAAGGATCTATCACGGTAAAGATTGGCGGTCACTATTGAGAAATTACTTAAACGAAATTATAATATAACGAGAGGACACCTGATTAAATGCTACATCACGCTAGCCTAAAGCTACTTAGGTGGTGGAAACGACAGGCCGGGTTTAGTTGCATATCCTTTACAGGACCTTGCAGAACCAACCCCAACAGCCCCTGGCTGTTGCGTGGTTTTTCTAGGCAAATTTACGTACAGTAGTTTGCCATTGCTTCCTGGACGGTCGGTTTTCTTGATACTACTGTCAAAACCAACGCAAGGCGCATGGCCAGCAGCCGGGATTGAACCCGGCATCCCGGCATTACGAAGCGTTCGTATCGACTTAGCCACAGAGCCGACAAAAATATTCACATAGTAAAAATAATGTTTGCTGCATACTTACGCCACTTATTCAGAAGCTCTAAAGTGTGAGAGCTACCAGGTAGTAATTTAATAAAAAGGTACCAGGTACTAATAGTACCAGGCTAGGTGCACATGCACTCTCAACAACAAAGCGAGGAGAGGGAAACCATCACGTGATACCCTCTCTGGTGTTATCGATCAAAGCAAGGTTGTGTGTGTGTGGGGAGGGCGGGGGGGGGGGGGGGGGAGTCTGTGGCGCAGTGGTGAAGCTGTTTATCTTTGGCTCTCAAGGTGGTTGGTTCGTTTCACTGGTCATTCAGTTCACGGGGTACATGTTTTGCAGAATGATTTCGGTTAGTGTCTAGTCGTTTGCAAAAATTGACCTTTGGCATTATTATTTTAAATAAATCTTACTGCAAACATAATCTTGAAAAGGAAACAATAAGACTTCCTCTAATACAAAGCTTAAGCAGCCAAAATTAATACAATGGATCAAAAAATAATAGCATACTCGGTGTATTTTTCTGTTAAACACTAAATAATATTAAAAAAATTAGGCATATTAGGAAAACATAGACACGGCGTTTCCCTTTACAGAAAAATTAATTTAAAGACACAATGATTAAAACACACACAAGAATAGTGAGTGCACCACCCACCCACCCACCCCACCCCACCCCACACCCCACCCCTACCCCCCCTCCCCAACCCACCCCCACCCACCCACCCACACACACACACGCACGCACGCACGCACACACACACACACACACACACACAAAACTGTTTTTCTGAGACGTTCATTATAGAAAGCGAAAAGAAAGAAAACAAAATTAAGGAACATTTTGCCGAAGCTTTGTGATCCCGTTTCCAGAGCAATTTTTAACCTCCTGCCAGTCTCCCTCCGCTGGGAATGAAAGCAGTATCCTGTTTCGTGAGTTCTGAGAGAAATTATCCAAGACAGTTTTCGTTAAGCTGATATCCATAAGGGAGTAACATTCTCTGAGTCACTTAGATTGGTTAATTCTA